CAATAGTATATTTAATCTATTTATTCAAAACATGCGAACTAAAGTCACTGTAAATAGAATCCTTATTTAGCCACTTCACTGTAAATAGAATCCTTATTTAGCCACTTTACATGAATGAATAAGAAAAAAGAACAAAGACGAAAGTGAACTCCAAGAACCTCTAATAACCCAATAAGGTGCAATCATGCCAAGAAGGAACTCAACCTAACTCATTAAGTAAGATGCAATCATGCCTAGAACCTTTAATTTTTACTGCAAATTAACTCAAAATATGCCAAGAAGAAAAACATGAAATGCCTAACTCGAGTAAAATGCAATCTATTAACAAATTTCACAAGACCGAATCACTTTGCTTTACCCAATGTTTGAAAATGGGGCTCAGGAGAAGGAACTCACCCCCTTGCAACTCAAAAAAATCTTAATCAACTCATCAAAGTCTATGCTGAGTGACCCAATGAGCCAAATAAACACAAAAAAAAAAAATGGACTCAGATTTTAGTACAAACTGTTTGAATAATCAGTTTGTAACTGAGCTCTATTTTTTTATAACTGAGCCCTGATCGACTGGGCTGTTGTGAAAAATCTGTAAACTCGCGAAATAAACACAAAAATAAAAGGACTCAAATTTTATTACAAACTGTTTGAATAATCAGTTTGTAACTTAGCTCTATTTTTTTTGTAACTGAGCTCTGATCTATTGAGCTGTTGCGAAAAATCTGGAACATCTCCAAATAAACACAAAAAAAAAGGACTCAGATTTTATTACAGACTGTTTAAATAATCAGTTTGTAACTAAGCTCTATTTTTTTTGTAACTGAGCTCTAATCTATTGCGCTGTTGCGAAAAATCTGTAAAATCGCCAAATAAACAAAAAAAAAAAGACTCAAATTTCATTACAAACTATCTGAATAATCAGTTTGTGACTGAGCTCTATTTTTTTTTTGTAACTGAGCTCTGATCCATTGGGCTGTTGCGAAAAATCTGTAAAATCGCCAAATACACAAGAAAAAAAGGGACTCACATTTTATTACCAACTGTTTGGATAATCAATTTGAAACTGAGCTCTGATCTATTGGGCTGTTGCGAAAAATCTATAAAATCATAAATAAAAGGTATGCTATTCACTCTGATTTTATTATATAAAGCACATCAATACTATTCGATGTGGTTGGGGCAGTCAGGGGCAAATACCTCGAGAAAGATGAAGAACACGGATCAGGGCTCAATAGGAAGGATTAGAGCTCAAAGAAGAGATAGAGAGAGAAAGATGAAAAACATCAGAGTCAATAGCATACCTCAAGATCAATAGCAAGGATCAGAGCTCAAAAACAACTGAGTAAACCCTAACGAGAAACTTTTTTGAAACTTTTTTTACACGCGAGCTGGGAAGAAGAATAGTACCGTGAAGTTCCTATTTGAACTTTTATTTTTTTATCAAACACGAAACATAAACAATACTAATAAGTTCCTACTTCCAAAAAAAACACTTCCTATTATCATACACGCGATATATTCTCTTAAAAAACTACTCAACTACTTGTGTACAAGATTTGGTACCTTGTACAAGTAAGGGCATTTTAAGTAATTTAACCTACCCTGAACAATGGGACCTTTCTTTCATTTGGTTGGGGCCTCTTATAGGGGTGGGAATGGGTTGGATATCCGTCGAGGCCGACCCAAACTTGACCGGACTAGTTATAAGTTGGACTTAGACCCTAATCAAATTCCGGTCAATTGGACTTAGACCGATCAACTGGGTTGGGTTTGGCTGGGCCTATAATAAAAATATATATCAAATTCAGTATATCTTTTATATTAGGAAAATTATCGTTAAGGTATTAATTTTAAGAAAATCGCAAAAAAAAAAAGCATAACTTCTCAAAACTTCGTCCACACCTTTTTTTTCAATTTTCGGCATTTTCTGGACGAAAAAACCTTTTTACGGTTGTCTTTCTACCGTAATGCATTGCGACTATTACGGTAATTTAAATACCGTTGTAAATAGAGATAGAATTACGGCGCTTCTAGTACCGAATAACATAAGCATTTATTACGGTACTTTAATTACTGTAATAATATAGAGTATTACGGTAATAAAAATACCGTAATACTTTAAATTAGTATTACGGTACTTTAATTACCGTAATAACATAGAGTATTACGGTAATAAAAATACCATAATACTTTAAATTAGTATTACAGTAATTTACGTATCGTAATATTGCTCAACTCGACACGAAAGATGTTTTACTCTCTCGAGCCTACTATTTATTTACTCCTTCAACCAAAATCTACGCTAGCTGTAATTTTTCAAATCTCAAATTTTTAAGATATAATCTCTACTTAATTTTTATATGGTTCTCAGAATTTTAAAACGAAAACACGCTTAAATAGGTATTTTTGAGCGAGGGGGTAGATCCACATTGTCCTCGCATAAGAATATAGATTTTTTGAAAATGGTAGCCCTGATACTAGTTTCGGTTTGATCAAACTTTTTTGTAAATTATTTTTTTGATATTTTTATTAGGTGTGCCTGAGAAGCACCTACGCCAATTTCAAGTGAAGTCGTGACTATAAGATCAGCCTAGATTCAATCTGGACCATTGGGTATAATCTTACAGATAAGCCCGCCGACGTACCGTAGCATCTTTATATATATATAT